ATAGTGAACGAAGCTCCGAAGAGCCTTCCTTTGAGAACGACCCGAGTCGGGTAACTCGGTTACCACATGCCCAAAAATACTACAAACAGTAATTAATGTACAAAATTATTTTCGTCAAATATTACGGCTATTACCTTTATTAGTTGCATGATTTAAATTTAGTATATAATATATTGACAAAACTTGCTGTTATTATCTTTATTAATTGCATGATTTAAATTTGATATATAATATATTGAAAAAAAAATTATTTAAAATTAAAAATAAAAAAATAATTATACAGAACTTACGAGCATTGTTTTTTCACCCGGACCGGCCCGGCGGGTCAACCCGGGACCTGGTCGACCCGGAGCCAGAACCGGTCTGGGTGGGCTATTTGGACCGGACAACAAAGGACCCGGTCAAACCCGACCGACCCGAGGCATTGACCCAGCCAGGTCAACCCGGTTGACCCGGTCCATATATATTTTTTTATTTTTTTTTTATTTTTTTTGTTGTTTAAAAATAAAACTATGTATATATATTTATATGATAAATATTTATCATGAGTTACATATTATTAACACTTTAATGTACAAATTTCATACACAAAACATTTAATTTTGTTATTTTTATGTATATTTATATGACAAAAATACTCTATATATAATTTTAAAAATTTTAAAATTAATTATCCGGTTTAATAATTGACCCGGTGACCCGACGGTTGAACCGATGACCCGAGGAACTGCCCGAGTCCACTACCGGGCCGGGTTTAAAAACTATGCTTACGAGTCAATAGTAATTAGGACGTAAACGAAATAGTCAATTATTTATAGTTTAGTAAATTACTCAACTACTTAATTTATAGTCAATTTAAACTATATATCATTTTCAATAAATTAATATAGGTAAATTGTATTATATATTGATTCCATATTTTTAATTTATAAATATTATCTAATAAAAATTTTTAATTTATAAATATTAATGAATATTTCTTACCCGTGCACTGCACGGGACTCATACTAGTTGGGAGAATGCTGCGCGACGCGTTTTGACGAGAGGGGAAAAAATAAAATAGATACAAACTATATATGTATACAATAGCCTAGGTTTGATTTTCTTGACTCACAAGAAAAAAAAATCACATGCACATGTTGGGCTCAGATGCGCAAATGCGGAAGGTGTAAATTAAAATACCGAAGTAAAATGGTGAATAATTATAATAATCCCAGCAACTCAAGAATGACAAAAGAAAATCTCTTGCAATAAAATAGGAATAATTCTTTTCTAATGTGGAAGATCAGATTAAACTGCGACCACAGAGCATACTAAGAATATCCCAAATAAATAAATATGCAAGGAAAACGACACCAAGATTTAACGTGGAAAAACCTCCAATGTAGAGGAAAAAACCACGAGACAAACTCCGAACAATTCTACTATATTTTCAAGATAATTACAATATCATTTCACACTCCCCTATACTAGAAATGTAAAATATAATGACCCAGTGAGACCTCACTCCTATTCAAATATTACAAACAAGGAGTAATAGAGATGATACCCGACTCGGTGTATTTTTCCCACACTCACAAGATTTACTCAAACATTCTATTTTTCTCTCACTGACAATAATACTCACAAGAAATATTTTTATTTCTTTTCTTGCTCTCTCTTTTTTTCTTCTCGTTTGGTGCATTTCATCTGCTGAAACCCCCTCTATTTATAGAGGGGAAATGCCATGTGAACAAATGAAGCAGCTCTCCCTTTCTTCCAATAATGCGGCGCCGAATTTGACAATTGCACTCCTTCCTTTATTTATTTTTTTCTGTAGATTTGTAAAGATTTGGCCTCATCTTGCTGTTTATCTTAGTGGCTTTGAAGGCTTTTGTATTGGTTGGTGATCATCTTTGTGTTACACGAACATTCAGTGATATGATGGTAATTCTCAGAAGTCAGAACGTACCAAACTTGTTAGTGCATATTTGTATTGAGTAGGTTATATGTGCTCACTTTGTAATGCCAGGTACTGTAAGTGTGAGATGCCTTATAACCCTGATGATCTTATGGTTCAGTGCGAAGGCTGAAGTGACTGGTGCGTTGATATACTACAGAATATTTTCCGACTTCCTTGTTTATCATGGATTCATTTTCTGCATGCTTCCACTTGCCGATTTTTTTNCTTATGGCGATTTAGTCATCAGAGCTCATTTATTTATAGTAGGTGTGCATTTTTTTATTTTTTATTTTTAATTTCATATGTTGCTTTCAAGATTCTATACAATCACAACGCACTGCTCAGAATCTATAAGGTGTCCATATTCTTGTGATTACACCATTTAAAAAAAAATGATGCAAAATGATGAACTCTCTTTTATATTATCAGTCACAATACTGCCTTTTGGCTTCTGGCATCCGTGTTGCTTGGTTGCATTTGAATTTTTTGGAAGTGGGATAAGTGAGATATAATGTATAACATGTTACATTGCCTGTGCCACTGTTAAAGAAATGTGGTTTATTTTCTTTTTGTATAGAGAAGATTTTGATGGAAACTAGAGATAGCACCAAATCAAAGGTGAAAGACATGTGTTGTATTATTTAGAGTTTTAGAATGATTATACCAGCTTGGCAGTGTAGGGTCTTGCTCGAAGGCTTCTATGTGGTTGATTCAGCAGATTATAGTGTCCAATGGTGGGATTGGCGAGCCAATCTCTAATGGTTTTATGAAATAGAATCAACTAGTTAAACGAAATACAAATCTACCTGATATGTTCATACTTATAGTAGATAATAGTCTTTGGTGTGCAGCATCATCCTCTCTAAATCTATCACGACCCGTTGATTTTCAAGTTTTCAACTGAATTTTTCCAGAAATTATGATGATTACAGAAATATGACAAAAGTTCGGATGGTTGATAACATGCTAAGCTGTTCATATCAATCTGTACATTGTTAAATTTGGATACTATCGTCATGCGGATAATTTTTTTCTATGAGCATGTCTCTTGGGTTATGTTTGGTAAAACTAGCTGATAGCTTATAAGCTAGCTGATAGCTTATTTGTAATTTTTTTAACTTTTATAGCTTATGACTTATAGCTGAAAAGCTAGCTTATATGATAAAAGTGTTTGGTAAAATTAGCTGATAAGCTAGTTGAAATAAAAAATTCAACTAGTTTATTTGAAAAGTTACCTAAAGTAGCTTATTAGATAAGCTCGATCTTTTTAAAAAAGTTCGTCCTACCAAACGAGGCTTATTTGAATATAGAAAGCTTATAAGCTAACCAAATAAGCTATAAACTATTAAGGCCAATAAATCAGCCTGTGATGAGACCTCTGTTACTTAAAATAAAGTTCTGGAGGAATTGAAAATTCAACATAAAAGGCAACAAGTAGATCCTACCCTTGATTATATCATTTCCTTTCTAAAATGATTTTATTCCTTCTGTGTAATCTTTTTACCGTTGGACAAATCTCTATAAGAGACATTGTATAGTTAGAAATAATATAGCTTGTGTTCATCGTTCCTTAAGCTTCTTTAATAAAATCCTTTTTTCTCCAGACATTCTCTTCTTTTATCTTGGCATCAGAGCCAGTGAACACAAGCAGAATACAAAACTAACCAATCATGAATTCTTTATCTCTAAACGTCGGCAACTTCATTACACTCAAACTCACTCCAACAAACTACCCTCTATGGCGAGAACAAGCTTTAGCCCTTGCTGAAAGCCAAGAGCTGGTTGAACATCTGACAGATGAAAGCTTAGCACCACCAAAATTTACCACTCCAAATAACCCTTTAGATGCCGAACAATTCACACCACAGTTAACAAAAGAGTTCGTCGCGTGGAAAAAAGCTGACCGCCTTTTGCGGGGTTGGCTAATTGGTACATTATCTGAAGAAGCACTCGGCTTGGTCATTGGAGTAGATACAGCGTTCGGCGTCTGGAAAGCCCTCAAAGATGCCTACGCACAAGACTAGCAAGAGAGAGAATTCACACTGAGGCAACAACTCACATATCTCCGTAAGAATGATGACAAATCCATTGCAGACCATATTCGTACTTTCAAAGGTCTGTGTGACAATTTAGCGGCCATCGGAAAACTCGTCCTTGACAAAGAAAAGGTATTTTACTTGCTCACTAGCCTTGGCCCGCAATATGAAACTTTCACTACCACTATGTTGAAACCTCCCCGACCCACTTACACTGAACTAGTGGCACAACTTCAAAATTTTGACCAAAGACGTAGTTGGATGAACAACACCGACATCGGTACCAATTCGTTTAATACCCTAATGGCTTTCTTCGGACAACACCAAAAATGTCAAGGAGGACCCTCCAAGTTCACATCATCAGGACGAGGTTTTATAGCACAACAACCGAAAAATCTCTCTCATTCTGAAAAATTCAGCCCTCAGCCAAAAAAACCACCACCTCCTGGACAACGACGTATGTCGCAAGCTGAAAGAGATCTTTATCGAGATGAGACATGCCAATATTGTGGTGTAACAGGACATATTGCAAAAATTTGTTGGTGGATTCCAAAACCATCAAAGGGGACAGATGACTTACCACAAGCATTAGCCGCCCTCACATTGGATACCATTGTTGCTGATAATGAATGGACCTCTGATACTGGTGCCTCCAACCATATGACAGGTAAGTCGGGTATTCTATCTAACCTCCAAAATAATTGTGGATTAGACTCTATTTTACTTGGTGATGGTTCATGCTTACCTGTTGACGGAATTGGATATTCTGAAATTCGTCAAGATAACTTCAACTTACCATTAAATAATATTTTATATGTTCCAAGTTTAAAGAAAAATTTGTTATCGGTTAGTCAACTCACTTCTGAATATCCTGTCAATTGTGAATTTATTGATATAGGTTTTTGTGTTAAGGACATAAAAACAGGCCAACCGTTGATAAAAGGAAGGCGTAAGGGAAATCTTTATGTCCTTTCCAATCAACCTGAGTTCAATTTCTCTCACCGTTTCAAGTCTGGCTCATTTAATATTTGGCATCAGCGTTTAGGACATCCACAACACTCTCCTATACTACATCTCAAGAATAATAACCTTATTCATGTCACAGGCCCAACAAAAAATGAGCACGTTTGTGATAGTTGTCAACTAGGAAAACTTAGTAAATTCCCCTTTAGCAGTTCTGAGCATTCAAGTACTGATATTTTTGACAAAATTCATTGCGACTTATGGGGTCCGACTCCAGTTTTATCACTTGGTTCCTTTCGTTATTATGCATGTTTTGTTGATGATTTCTCCAAATACATATGGATTGTTCCTTTACGATTGAAGTCTGATTTATTTGATGCCTTTATCAATTTTGAACGGTATGTTGATCGACAATTTAACAAGAAAATCAAAATACTTCATTCTGATAGGGGAGGTGAGTTTGTTAATAAACGATTGTCTACGCATTTTTTGTCTTCTGGTATTATTCATCATAAATCGTGCCCATATACACCTGAGCAAACAGGTATGGTTGAACGGAGGCATCCATGATTCGGGAATTAGGTATGACCATGTTATTTCATAGTGGTGCTCCTCTATCTCTATGGGTAGAAGCATTCTCAACGGCTGTGTACCTCATTAATAGGTTACCCTCTTCCGCGCTTAATTTTAATTCTTCTTACCTCATATTACACGGCACTCACCCCACATATAGTTGTTTACGTGTTTTTGGATCAAAATGCTTTCCATATACTTGGGATACTCGAAAAAATAAGTTTCATCCTAAAAGCATACCTTGTGTTTTTATAGGTTATAGTGATCAATTTAAAGGCTATAAATGTTTTCATCCACCAAGTAAGAAAATATATATCTCACGGCATGTGGTCTTTGACGAATTATGTTTTCCTTATAAAGACCGTATTTCTTTCAAAATTAACACTGATCGTGTGAATAGTATTTTTGATTCATGGTTGCCTACAACTAACAATTTTCTTTTGTCAGACTCACCCTCCGGTAGTGTCACGAATGACTCTAACTTTATTGACATACCTCTTTCGCTACCTCCAAATCCTATTCCAGATGTAGATCACCCCAACCATGATACCTCATCCACGCCTACAAACACTGCACAACCTGACACTACACTCGCTTTGCCTACAACTTCCAGCCGAAATGATAATCCTACCCTGCATACTTCTTTGCCTAATGAGCCACAAATTCGAGTTTACCACCGCCAACCACGAGCTATGAATTCAGGTTTACCATCAAACGCCCCGCTGCCATCTTTCGACGAACGTCCTCCAATTCTTTCCTCGTCAATTGAAATTGCCCCTCAACCTCGTCACACTGAACATTCTATGCTCACCCAGTCCAAAGCAGGTACCCTGAAGGCTAACCCAATGTATGCACTAACCATGACTCTCTCAAGTACTGTCCCTCGAGAACCGACCAATATACGTGCTGCTCTTAAACATCCTGGATGGTATGATGCTATGAAAGAGGAACTTAATGCACTTAATCAAAATTCCACATGGTCTTTAGTTCCACCATCCCCCCATATGAATATTATTGGATCAAAATGGGTATTTAAAACAAAATTAAAACCGGATGGTTCGTAAGATCGGCTTAAAGCTCGTCTAGTAGCTAAAGGTTATCATCAACAAGATGAAATTGATTATAATGAAACTTACTCGCCTGTTATCAAACCTGGTACAATTCGTTTGGTGATAACTGTTGCAGTCTCTAAGCAATGGCAAATCCGCCAACTGGATGTCAAAAACGCGTTTCTCCATGGACATATCTCTGAAGCTATTTATATGCAGCAACCTCCAGGTATGAAAGACTCTAAATATCTACATTATGTTTGTAAACTTCACAAAGCACTATATGGCCTCAAACAAGCACCTCGTGCTTGGTTTGATCGTTTCAGCATTTTTTTAATAAGGTATGGTTTTTTTTGCAACAAAGCTGATCCTTCTCTTTTTATTTTACATTCTTATCATGGCACACTTGTGTTATTATTATAAGTAGATGACATTCTTCTTACTGGATCTAATACTTCCTTAGTTAATTCTTTTATTATTTACTTAGTCATGAATTTGCTATGAAAGACCTTGGTGAACTACATCATTTCCTAGGAATTGAAGTTTCAAAAACTACTCAAGGTTTGCATCTTTCTCAATCACACTATGCACTCTCCATTTTAGAAAGAGCCAGCATGACAGATTGCAAACCAATGTCCACTCCTTTAGAAATAAAAAATAAGCTTCATGAGACTAGCTCCCCTCTTGATGATCCGAGCATGTATAGAGGTCTTGTTGGAGCTCTTCAATATTTAACACTTACACGACCTGACCTTACATATAGTGTTAACTATGCATCTCAATTTATGCATCAACCTTGCACATCTCATCTAAAAATTGTTCGTCGTATCCTGCATTATGTGAAAGGTACCATTCATCTTGGCCTACATCTTATTTCCCACACAACACATGATCTTAGTGCTTATGCAGATGCAGATTGGGCTGGTTGTCAGGTCACTCGACGCTCTACTACAGGCTTTTGCACGTTCCTTGGTAGCAATCCTATTTCCTGGTGTGCAAAAAAACAGCATACAGTCTCCCGTTCAAGTACAGAAGCTGAATATCGTGCCATGGCTCATACTGCCACTGAGCTTACTTGGATGACATTTGTCTTACAAGATCTACACGTCCCATTAACTTCGACACCAGTCCTCCATTGTGACAACATTAGCGCACTCCATATGACAATTAATCTAGTGTTTCATGCTCGTAGCAAGCATATTGAACTTGACTATCATTTTGTTCGTGAAAAAGTTGCAGCCGGACAACTCATCACCAAACATATTCCGACGCAACTCCAAGTCGCTGATATTTTTACAAAGTCATTGCCCAAAAGCGTGCTTGGTTTCTTTCGGACCAAACTATGTCTACGTCTACGACCCCAACATAGTTTGAGGGAGGATATTAAGGCCAATAAATCAGCCTGTGATGAGACCTCTGTTACTTGAAATAAAGTTATGGAGGAATTGAAAATTCAACATAAAAGGCAACAAGTAGATCCTACCCTTGATTATATCATTTCCTTTCTAAAATGATTTCATTCCTTCTTTGTAATCTTTTTACCGTTGGACAAATCTCTATAAGAGACATTGTATAGTTAGAAATAATATAGCTTGTGTTCATTGTTCCTTAAGCTTCTTTAATAAAATCCTTTTTTCTCCAGACATTCTCTTCTTTTATCTTAAACTTGCTTATTTGGCTTACCAAACACAGTCTTAGCCTCATTGACCATTGTTGTCAAAGATGAGACCTACTTTATGATTTGTTCATGGATTACCAATTCTAAGGATTGTAGTTCTTAGGTATTTGAAAACATATATACTTTCAGTTGTGATATTGAAATTGAACGTTTCCAAATTTTGCCTTAGGTTTCATCCGACTTGTATTGATATGACACCAGAGGAAGCCAAAATCGTCGATCACTTCTACTGCCATAGTTGTTCCTCGGAAGATCAGAAGAGATTAGAAAATTCTAATGCTTCTACTACAACTCCTGATGCAGAGGTATTTGCCCCCTCAGTGCTGAATATATATGATGTCTGCTACCCTCTTAATTTGTTATCAATTTACAGCACTAATTGGTTTGAAGATTAGTAGGTGGAATATATACATTTTTCTCTTTATTGGGGGAATTCAAATTTCAAAAGGTAATTTGTGTTCTTTGTAATTGGATCATACCTCTAAGTTATTTAAATTCTATGTGTTCAAATCATACTCTTCAAAGAAACTAGTTATGTAATTAGGTCGAACTCAAAGTTATTTTTGTGCTCGTCGCTTCTGTTTAGCTACTATAGAGTTTGGAAGTTGCGTTTCAAATCAGCACATAATTCGTTTATCTGCTACATAAGCTTTTCAGGTGGAAATAAAGCGTCGCCGAAGGTGAATATACATGGTGCCGAATAACATGCGAAACTGTGTATCAAACCAATGCTAATAAAAAATGAGGCAATGATGATGAAAGTTCTTTTTTCTTTGGTCTTTGCTTTGCCTTTCTATGGGGCATCTACTGTATTCTGCCCAACTACTTGGCGATCTGTTGTATCCTATCCAACTGCTTCGCGACATTAGTCGTAGATGAGGAGCTGTGATGTAAATATTTGGGGTTTACTTGTGTGTTTTGTGGTAGTGATTTCAAGAAAAAAAGAAAAATATAAAAAATGTTTGAGGGTTCAGTGGTTCGATAGGACCGGTCTATTTGCCAACTTACATGTATAATTATTTTTTTTGTTTATATGTGTGTACATAATTACGCATAATACTTGGAGGCTTTGCACGGCCGACTATGCTAATTGTTTTATATTATTGCCTTGATGTATTTGAGTTCATTTCTCCACGGAATATATATATATCTTTTGCAAGGTATAATGTTATTTTAATCAAATGGAAAATAACAAATATGAATGTGCTAATAGAACAAAATCCCTAGCTCAAAAGATTTTACATAATATTCATGTTTTTTTTAAAAAAAAAAAATAACTTGTAACCCTCCACGTGCACAAAAAATCTATCCTCACTTTTTGTTAACATAAATAAGGAAAGGTGATAAATGTGTAGGAGAAAGAAGAAACATAATAGCATCAATCGAGATCTGATATTTTCATGATAAGACAATACATTCTTTCTTGTTTATTGATTCTAGGGTTACAATCATGGTAAAATGTATTTATAGCTGTCATTTCAATGATCCTACGGTTCACATTTTTTCTTCATGATCTTCTTTGCATTGCTGCCGTTCCTGTCACTGTTGCTTTGTCTCTTCTTTCCCAAAGCTACCCCAAGATGACATGGCAAGGACTATAGTTAACCAGCCTTGCAAGCCTTACACATGCACGGTTTCTCTTGCTTAGATGGCAGAGATATTTTGTCCCTTTGTGCCATGTGCATGTAGTAGCCACATGCATATTTACCATGTATTCTATCATCCCCCCTCAAGCCAAAGGAGGTTAAAGGCAACAGTTGGAGAAGGTTTCTAAACCGAGTGTAGGCTTGCTGAGATAAAGGCTTGGTGAACATATCACCAACTTGGTCTGAGGAAGGGACATGATGAACCTGCAGTAGGCCTTTAGCCACTTGTTCTCTTACAAAGTGAAGATCTATGTCTATGTGTTTGGTTCTTGCATGGAGCACTGGATTGGTAGAGAGGGATATAGATTATCAACCCAAACTGTGGGAATTTGAGAACATTTTACAGCAAGCTCTTTAAGAAGAGAGGTAAGCCAAGTAATTTCAGCTGAAGCTTGAGCCAAGCTCCTGTATTCAGCTTCTGTGCTAGATCTGGATATAGAAGGTTGCTTCTTTGAGCACCATGAGACAGGATTCTTACCAAGATAAATGCACACCCCATAGGTCGATCTTCTGTCATCAAGATCATTGGCCCAATCAGAATCTGAGAAACCAGTGAGATGAATACTGGTATTCTTGATATAATGCAGTCCATAGGATAATGTCCCTGGTAGATACCTCAGTATGCGTTTTACTGCTTTCCAATGAACATCCATAGGACATTGCATAAACTGACACACTTTATTGACACTAACGGAAATGTCTGGTCTGGTAATGCAAGCATACTGAAGAGAGCCAACCACACTTCTGTAAAGTGTTGGATTGTCCATGGGAGACCCCTGGTTTTTGGTAAGTGTAGAGGATGATATCATTGGAGTGGGTAAAGGCTTAGCAGCAAGCATGTTTGTTTTACTGAGGATGTCCTTTATGTATTGAGATTGAGTGAGAAGAAGGCCTGACTGGACATGGCTGATTTCAATGCCAAGAAAGTGATGTGCCTGGCCCAAATCCTTTAAAGAAAATTTTTGTTGAAGAGTACCAATAATGGTAGAGACAGCAGCAACATTGGACCCTATGATGAGGATATCATCCACATAAACTAAAAGCCAAACACAAGAGGAACAGGTTTGTTTTATGTATAGAGAACAATCTGATTTGGATTGATGGAAGCCAAGAGAGAGAAGGGTTTGCTTGAGAGTGTTAAACCAGGCTCTAGGTGCCTGTTTGAGGCCATAGATTGACCTATGCAGCTTGCACACCATATGAGGGTTTTGTGGGTCTTCAAATCCAGGAGTTGGGACATGTAGAGTTCCTCAGTGATCTCACCATTCAAGAATTCATTGTTAAAGTCAAGGTGTTTAATGGACCAACCATATGATAATGCCAAAGATAGGACTACTCTTATAGTAGTGGGCTTGACAACTGGACTAAAGGTTTCATAGAAGTCAATACCTGCAGTTTGGCTATAGCCCTTTGCAACTAGCCTTGCTTTGTGTCTAGCCACACTCCCATCAGCATGTCTTTTGATTTTAAAAAGCCACTTACAGCCTATGATGGACCTTTGTGAAGGTGGAGGAACCAGTGACCAAGTCTTGTTGAGAATTAGAGCTCTATACTCAGAGTCCATAGCAGCCTTCCATGTAGGATGAAGTAGAGCCTCTTTCTAGGAAGTTGGTTCCATTTCATCCAGTTGAGCAGAAAACACTCTTGGCTTCAAAGAACATGTTTTAGACCTGGTAATCATATGATGGACAGGGACATTATCATGAGTAGTGATAGTATCAGGTGAGTCAGAGGTCCTCACAATAGGCAACTCAACAAAAAGAGGAATTGTGGAATGAGAGGACTGGCTGTGTCTACTGGGTGAAGAGCTATGAGATGGAGGGTGATGGGAGTGAGATTGTGTTGATGACATATGGGATTGTGTAGTTGTAGAAGGAGTAACATTGATAGGAGAGGGAGATGGACTGTGAACAATAGGTGGAGGTAAATGTAAAAATGAAGAAAGCATTTCTGGATGGGCAGTTGAAGTAGAGGACTTTGAGAATGGAAATTTACTTTCATCAAAGATAACATCTCTTGATACTATGACCTTGCCCGAGGGAAGAAGAACCTTATAACCTTTGTGTTTAGAGCTGAAACCAATGAAAGTTGAAGGTAGGGACCTGGGCTGCAGTTTATGTTTGTTATAGGATCTGAGATTTGGGTAGCATAGGCAACCAAAGATTTTAAGAGTGGAGTAGTTAGGTCTGTGACCATATAAGGCCTCTAGAGGAGAAACAAATTTGAGAGACTTTACAGGTAGCCTATTGAGTATATAAATGGCAGCACTGAAGGCATCATCCCAGTGAGAGAGAGGAACATGTGAGTGATATAAAAGAGCTAAGCCCATCTCAACAATTGTCCTATGTCTCCTCTCTGCCACTCCATTCTGAGCAGGAGTATAGGGGCAAGATAATTTATGATAATGCCAGAATCAGTGAAAATAGAAGTTAGAGCTCTAAACTCACCACCCCAGTCACTCTGTATAGCTTTGATTTTGTGGTGTAGCTGATTTTCAGCCATATTTTTGAAGTGCAGGAATGCCTCTTTAACTTCTGATTTTAGTTTAAGGAAGTATATCCAGGTATATTTAGTGTAGTAATCCACAAAACAGACATAATATTGAGAACCAGTGGATGATTTTATGGGTGAGGGGCCCCACACATCAGTGTGAGCTAGTTCTAAAGGACATGTATAAATTTTATCAGAGGGAATATAAGGTAAAGAATGAGACTTTGCCTGTTGGCATGACCCACAAATAAACTTATCATTCATTGATACTGATAAATTACAAGATCTCATCACTTTGAAAGTAACATCAAAAGCAGCATGGCCTAGTCTAGAGTGCCATAAGGCCAAATCATTGTTTTTGTTAAAAGTAGCAACAAAAGCAGAAGGTAAAGGAGAACTGGGAGACTTCTGTGGCACTGTAGGTGAAGATGAGGTGCAGTGTATGTCAAAGCTGTAGAGTCCCCCTTTAAGTGAACCTTGGAGAAGAACTTGGTGTGTGACTTGATCCTTAACAAAACAGACAGTTGGATAAAATTCAAAATAGACAGAGTTATCATGAGCAAACTGAGAGACACTGAGAAGGTTTTTAGTTATGTGAGGAACATGCAGTAAATTTTGAAGAGTAAAGGATCTGGAGGGATTAGAGGGATTATGAATTGTTGTGTTGCCAATGTGAGAAATAGACAAACCTGAGCCATTACCAACATGAAGCCTATTGTTGCCTTGATATTCAGTGGCAAAGTTCAAATTTGAGAGGTCACTTGTGACATGATTTGAAGCACCTGAGTCAGCAAACCACATAGGATCTGGGTTTGGATCAGAGGAGGTGACCATAGCATTCAACTGAGTAGGAAGAGATGGTGTTGGGGAGTTTGTGGTGTGAGTCTGAGTTGTCTGAGCTTGCATGATGGTGGGAGGAGGGTAAGAGGAATCATACATGTGATAACACCTTTCAGCAGTATGATTAGAGAGGCCACAAAGTTGACAAGAGGGTCTGTTTTGAGTGGTTCTGTAGCCTCTACCACCTCTACCCCTATAATTAGTAGATCTGCCTTGACCCCTTTGAGAGAAAGAGCCCCTTGAGTTATTGAAGTTGGAGAAAGGAGATGAGGCCCTCTAAGATGGGGTATTGTGAGAGACAAGGTTCACAGAGGGTACTGATCCATCAAGATTAACTATGGACTGGGTTGTAACATCAAGTCTGGACTCAAGACTTAGTAACATGGCATAAACTTCATTCAAGGAGTATGGTTCAACCCTTGAGGTGACAGCAACAACAGCCGGATTATACTCACTTCCAAGGCCTGCTAAGATATATAGGATGTGGTTTTGGTCTGAAATCGGTTCACCAGCAACTCTTAGAGCATCACAGCAAGCTTTGACCTTGCCTAAGAACTCTCTCATGGTGCTAGCACCTTTCTTTAGGGTTTGTAGCTGCAGTTTGTGATGCATCAACCGTGCCTTGGAGAGACCAGAGAAGTTAGATTCAAGTGAGTGCCACACATCTCTGGAGGTGTTCTTGCCTACCATCATGATAAGGAGATTCTC